AAATTTTTAATTAATAATAACAACGAATCATGTATCAATATTAATACGAAAATTTATATACAACGCTAAAAGAAAATGCGAACATCAGCAACCAAGTCGTGAGAGAAATGTAACAAAGTGGGAGAAACTCTCAGACTTAGAGACTGTACGCGGGCAGTGCAGCAGGCTCAACAGTCAGTCCTATTTTCAATTCTCGCGTCGGTCACACGTACAAATTAACTCTTCAAAATTCTAAAGTGTAAACGAATGAAATTTTAAAAAACTTGAATAAATTGTGAATTGGTTTATCTTAATAATGAAAGTGTTGTTTATTGTGAATCCTAACCCCAAAAAAAAGTTTAAATAAAATTTTTTAAATAAGATTTAATTAATTATTAGTGAAGATAAACAAATAAAAACGACATTTAATGGCAACAAAGAAAATTATTATTTGAATCTTAGAATTTTATCTGGAAGTGAACTGTTTTTTTTGTGAAGATAAATCATTAGAACTTTGAACAATTCTGTTTTTTGTAAATTTTAATTAATAATTCAATTTAAAACAAAAGACAGTTGTCCGATTTGAAGAATTTTAGCAGACTGACGGAGAATCGCAGAATCAAGTCAATTTAAATATTATTGGCATTTTATCTACCTTTGAACTCGTATTTGGAACATCTCCGAAAGGCAGTTCGATATCCAGATTACTCTTCGATCCTTTATTTCCAAATTAAACAACAAAAAGGTAAGTGAGATTATTCCCTTCTTTCCAAAAAATCAGATTTACTCATTTACATTTTAGCGTCAGTATAAAATTAATTTAGAAAAGTCGGGACTTCGCGGCCGACTATAACAAATTCGCGAAGTGGTGACACGCGCTGCCCTAAAATTTATTGAAATTATTATATAAAATTTTTGCAAGTTACGAACAAAAACCTCCCTTTCGAGACATCTAAGACTAAGCCTATCTTTCCCTAACGTTGTATTCTCAGACGTTACAAAGAACTGGAAAAAAAGACAAGTCTCCGAAACTCTACTCTTAAAATAATCCTAAATAATACATTCCTTTTTGTTGAGAGAATAAGTGTACCTAATAGAGAGAATAACCTCCACCTAATCGAAATTATCAAGAACAAAATTCAAATTTCAAGTTTAATGCGACCCCTACGCGTGCAGCATCCCCTGAACCTTCAGGAAATTTAAACTTTCAACAGACTCTACATACCGACGCGCCGACGAGTCCAAACCCACAGCGTCAACGGACTGTCCAATTCAAGGAAAATACCGTAAGGTCCTACGAGCAGGAGTCACGGCCGAGGACTCCCCAGTAGTCCAGTTCACGACCCCAGAATTCAGACCAGACCAGATCTAGTAGATCCAGGATCTGACACCAATCTAATCAAATTGTGGTCTTACATTTCGACCTTACTCTTGACCCGAGCAGGAGTACAGAAATCACGGGAATAACGAATCACACAGCCGAAAAGGAGATTTTAAAACCTCATATCAAACCTTTTAAAAGAGTTTTGCGAATCCGAGCCAGAACTCGAAATCCAATCGCTATAAACGTGATCAATCCAGATTTATCACAAGGTTATCTCCTTAGAATTAACACCCCTAAAGGTTTATACTTGGGCGAGGCCGTAGTAAGTAGTAAAAATTGAGTGTGTTACGCCTTTTTGTGTCCCATTTGAATTCAGAAGAAAAATAACCCGTTAATAAGTGGGCTGAGGAATATGCCGACATTTTTCATTTCAACAGGGAACCTTTGAGTTGCACTCATTTAATCCAACATAGAATCCCCACCACCGATGATAAGGTAAATCATAAAAAGCAATACCGATCCCCAGATGAAGCCCTACCACAAATTGAAGAACAATTACTTAAACAGTTTAATAGTGGTATTATCGGAAACTCGAATTTCCCATTGTTATATCCCGAGCAGAAGGCAATTTTATAGGTTAGGTTATAGAATTTTCGAGGAATGGTAGGCTGATTATGGTCAAGTTGGTAAAGCTTGACCTTTATTTTTAAGTAGGATCGTTTGTACTTGTCAAAACTACGGGTTTTGCGTTAACAACACAATAAATATTCCCTTTTAACAATTTTATTCAATATTCAAATGTAATGTTTACAAAGTTGTAACATAAGTGTTACTTACTTTTATTACAGATTAGTCGTAGGATACAGGTTATAGCGCTGGTCGGTATAAGTATGGTTTTCAAGATGTTGTTTCAATTTGAATGAAACTAAGAAAGTTTCTTATGTTACACTTATGTAACTTTTACAACTTTAGGGTTCTTGCGTTTGTTTCAAGAGCTAGTACTGCTTCTAAGTGTTACTTATCGTCACTTGCACCTATTACGGAAAGAAACTTGTTTCTAAGTGTGAGAGAAGGAACTTGCACAATAATCGAGTACAACGCGGACTGAATTGCCGATTAAAGAAATAATTAGTGAAAAGCTACAATTAATGAAACTTGACACCCAAAATACGACAGTTAATACATTTAAAATTATTGATTCTAAGTGTCAATTTGCTTTTCTTGCACCTTTTACGGAAAGAAACTTGTTTCTAAGTGAATAACAAAATAGATGAAAGAGCTTTGCTTTATATACTCTAAAATTATTAAAAAGTGGGAGAGTTTGTAGACAATAATGGGGGTAAAAGATGTCAATTCTTAGGAATAATACTTGTTCAGTATAATTCTATTTATAATTAAGTTTCAGAGAAAGAATGCGTCTCATTGGCAACTAGCCAATATGTTTACCTCATATATGGAAAATGTGAAGCTCGAGTTACAAGCAACGATTCCTAGAACTCGGGTTGTGGGAAGGGTTTATAGCATGCGAGTTCGAGATTACATGACGTTATTGCCGATGCAGCGCATTCCTTTCTATTTTGATCAATTTTTACCTTTTGCTTTGTTTTCTTTCTATTTTGAAGGTTGAGACAATTGAATAGAACAAAGCATAATGTTTCAATTTTGCTTCTATCTCAATTTCTGAATTTTAAATGCTTTTAACATGGGTATTATATATTATAAAGATAATGACATTCTTTTAGCTCATTGTTACATCGCAGTTACACAAACATATTCCTATCAAAAATGTACCTGAGATGTAACACCCATATAACTCCCCTCTTCTTATAGTACCGAAGAAACTTGACGCTTCGGGTAATAGAAAATGGAGAGTAGTTATTGACTATTGGGCACTTAATGAGGTGATAGGGGATGCCTATCCCCTCCCCAATATTTCCGCCATATTGGACAAATTAGGGACGGCAACATACTTTACGGTCTTCGACCTCGCTAGTGGTTTTCACCAGGTGGAAACTCACCCGGATGACCGACACAAAACGGCTTTTTCTTCTCGAAACGGACATTTCGAATACAAGCGTATGTCTATGGGAATAAAAAATGCCCCCCTACTTTTCAGCGACTTCTTAATAGCGTTCTTGATGGTATGCTTGATTCAGAAGCATTCGTGTACCTCGACGATATCATTATCTATTCTGATACCCTCGAGGAACATGTAAGGCGAGCCCGAAGACTATACAATAGACTTCGAGAAGCAAACCTAAAACTCCAACCCGACAAGTGCGAATTCCTAAAAAGGAAAGTGGCCTATTTAGGCCACATTGTCGGAGCAAATGGAGTAAAACCGAATCCAGCAAAAATTAAAGCCATCAAGCGATCTCCTGTACCGAAAACGCAAACTAAAGTCAGGTGTTTTCTAGGCCTTTCAGGTTATTACAGGCGCTTTATAAAAGAGTACGATAAAATCGCCAAACCTCTATCTGATCTGTTAAAGAAAACAGAAAAATGGAAATGGGGCGATACGCAACAGAAAAGTTTCAGAAAACTTAGAAAAGCCCTGTCTGAAAGACTCATCTTACAATACCCAGATCTCACAAAGCCGTTTAAACTCACGACAGACGCTTCTGAATATGCCATTGGCTCAATGTTGACCCAAGAACATGACAAAATTAACCTTCCCGTCGCGTACTACTCAAAAATCTTAAACGCTAACGAGAGAAAATACCTCGATGCATAAAAAGAGTGCCTTGCAGTGTTATACGCTGTAGAACATTTCAGTCCCTACCTGTATAATCAAGACTTTATCCTATCATGTGACTGTGAACCAGTTCACTGGATAAGTTATATCGAGAATCCAGGAACGCGACTTCAAAAATGGCGATTAAAAAACTTCGAGACTACCGTTATAAATTCGAGTACAAACCCGGGAAAATAAATAGAATTGTCGAGGCCTTATCTAACAACCCTATCGAATATAATGACACTAGTGACAAAAAGGACATTTTTGAATCTTCCGAGTCAGAGTGGACCGAATCTTCGGAAGAAACAGATCAGGATAAGTTAGATGACCAACGCGAAAATTCTGAAAACAAATCACCCCCTCTTCGCGCCCTTCCCATAAGTAGTAGTGCGAAACAAAACGTGATTAGTGCCAGTTCACGAGCAAGTCAATCGCGGGACAATAGCAAAATTCAACAGAAAACCCCACGTTCTTCTAAGGTTAAACCTAAATCTAAGAACCCTTTAAAGGTTTCAACACAACAACCTAACCCTACTTATAAACCTGGAAGACGAATCTTCTTCTTCAGATGAATCAACAACAGAAACCGACAAAGAAGAAAATTCGGATGCCCCAGTATTCCGTGCAAGTCATAGTGTGTTTCCTAGTGTTCCTCCTCAGCTCCCACCTAAAAATCTGATTACGCCAAAAGAAACAACTGACTAACCATCAACCCCGTATATTCCCCCTATGTCTAGTTCCTACACAGATGTTTATGTAGATGGTGTATATTGTGACCATGGAGGAATAAGACCACGTGCAGGGATTTGAGTATGGTTCGGTCCTTAACACCCACTTAACGTCTCTCAGCGATCCACAGGTAGACAAACCAACAACGCTTCCAAAATTGAGGCTGCAACAACGGCTATCAAAAAGGCGAAACGAGCGGGGATAAATCAACTAAGGATAAAAACTGACTCCATGGTACTTGTCCAAGGAATTCAAGAGTGGCTACCAAAATGGCAGAAAAACGACTGGAAAACCAACGAAAATAAACCTGTTAAAAATAAGAGTGCCTACGAACGATTAGTTAGAGTAATGAAAGGTCTGGATGTCATATGCGAACACGTGCCTGGTCACGATGGAATAAATGGAAACGAAAATGCACATCGACTAGCAAGGGAAGGCGCCCTCTTAGAACCTCCTTCAGACTACAGTTCTTCTTCCAGCGAATCAGCAGATCAAGAAGATGTGGAAGAAATTTCCCCGGAGCATGTGATCGTCACAATACTTCCACCACCTCCCGATAGCGAAGAAAGTTCTGAACCGGAATCAGAAACTGATCAGGAACCACAGCAAATCCAGCAGAACCTGCAGATCAAGAAAATTCACTAGATCAATCAATTAGGCGATTCGATGAATCTCTGAAACGTCGTGAATTCAGCAACTTGAATCAATCCAACCAAACCTTAGCATTAGACTATGAAGGAATGGGTCGAACACCTAAAAAGAAGACTCATGTTTCCGACGGAGAGAGCGATGAGGAATATCTTAACTATCTAGAATCCTTGGATCCTTGCAGAGGAATCAATGATGGCGAATTCACAGCAAGACTAAAAAGATTCCTGGATAATGTCATCAAACAGCGAGAGACAACTCATACCAACAACAACACTTATCCAAAAGAATCAAGACCATCCTCGGAACACAAAGCTCCTTCTTTTAGCCCCTATGCCAGTGGAGCTCAGCAGGATACCCCAGTAATGAGTCAGTCTTGCCCTAAAAGAAAATGAAGTGTAGTACGTTTCCAGGATACGCCTTTCGACAAAGTATCCCTAGATACAGTGGAAAAATTGAGAACCACTCCTAATGGGAATCGACATATTCTTACCATGCAGGATAACTTTAGTAAATACTGCATCGCGGTACCTATTCCGGATATCAAAACCACTACTATCGCCTATGCTGTGGCAACAAGCCTTTTCTCTCTGTACGGAGCACCTAGATGTGTGCTTACAGATAGAGGAGGAAGTTTTGTGAGTTCCTTGATGCGAAAAACTCGAAAGCATTTTCGGCGTAAAGCAACTTACTACTTCCGGTTATCGTCCTCAAACAAATGGTACATTAGACAGGAGCCATATTGAGCTGACAGATTATATTAAACATTATGCAAATGATTTTGACGATTGGGATCGTCTACTTCCTTTTGCAATGTTTAATTATAATACATCGGTCCATGAAGCTACAAATTTTACACCGTACGAATTGGTTTTTAGTCGAACCGCCCGGGTTCCCAGTTCATTCCCACAGGGCCCCGAATTGGAAACTTATAGTGTTTACTTAAGAGATTTAATCGTTAATGCATGAGTTACAGAACCTGGCCGCCCAGCGATTGATCAAAGCAAAAGAACGATCAAAGGAATGGCATGATTCTAAGGCTCGGCCTTCTAAGGTCAAGGTCGGTGATCAAGTTTACTCATATAAGGAAATCCGGAATAATAAATTCGATTCTCGTGCAAATGGCCCTTACGTCGTCGTAGGGTTAACCCAAAATAATAACGTTATCCTGGAAGATTAAAAATGGCGAGAGATTCGCCAAGCATAAAAATAAGATAATGGTTGCTCAAGAAATATTGCAGACCAGGAGAAAATTAGTGCGAGCAAACCATGTATCAATTTCAATGGGAAGATAAATGGGAGATGGCATCAGAGTTACAACTTCAATTTCGAGGACAGATCGAGGAGTTAGAAAACACTAGGACGATCCTACCAAGGAAAATGTCATCACAACTGAAAGTAAGACGGAGTGTTTCTCTGCTTGGATTCTTGGGAAAAATAGCTGGGCCCATCGCAGGCGTTCTAAATTTTGACGATGGAGAACGGTACGATGCGGCTATCGAAGACCTTAACCAAAAAGTAATTTGACCAGGTACTTGGGAAAACAAACTCACATTGTCCGCTCTCAATTGGACATTATTCACACTCAATATGTCAATCAACAAGGCCAAATGGATAACCTGCGTCAGGATCTACAAAATTTACTTTTGAGAGAAGGAAAAAGCGCTACCTGGAAAGAAGCAGTAGAACAGAGACAATCCATAATACTATTAATGGAGGCACTTAAAACCGGATTGGACCACAACATCAGAGCTACATCCACCATCTTGAATGCCGTCCATGTAGCTCGACAAAATCGGCTCCATCCTGGAATCATCTCGTCAAACCAACTAGAACCAATCATGCGAGAGATCCAAGACAATCTGACAGATGTTTATTTTCCTCTTCTTGGACCTAAGGTCAGCATCGACGAGCTTATTCAAATCGCCACAATTTCCATCTGGTGCGATAGCCATAAGTTAAAGGTCTTGATCGACATCCCTCTTTTGGAAAGACAAATACCAGTCTCTTAAAATCCATCCTCTTCCAACAATACAAGGATCCTTGGGTAGCGGCACTCAAAGAGCCTACATCAGCTCTGATTATGATTACTTAATTATCGATGAGGATAAACGAACCTACCTGCTGATCCACCAAGAGGAATAGAAGGAATGCCGCTCAACTGCAGCATATCATGATTGTCTGGAAAGAGTACCAATCTATGACATGCGAGAGAGACCAGGATGTGAACCCTTACTCTTGGATCAACCATCTCTTGAAGCCATGAGATCTTGCACAATCAAGATCACCACCGCACCTGAATCTTACTGGCAACCATTAAGAACCCTGTCAGCCTGGCTGTATTCATTTGCCCGACCAGAAGTGATAACTATCTACTAGCAGAGCTACGCGCGTTAAAGCGCGCGCGATATTTTGCTTTTATCTTATGATACTAAAGACATTGTATAAAAATGTGACTAAGACTTTAAGATGTTTTTTCTTCTTCGGAAATATTAGAAAAAGTTTACAAATTTTTTTGAAGAATATTAAAAAACATAAAACATGAAAACCAAAAATTAAATTTAACATACTAAGCAGCTTTACGATATAAATATAATAATATTTTTTTATTTTTATAATTATTACCTTAAATTTTCAGTTTGCACTCATGAAAAAAGGGGCGTCCTGATACTCACGGACGGTAGTGTATTTCCAAAAATTAATATACATAAAAGAATAGTATTTCAGAATTATTTTTAACATTTTGAAAAAACAATTATATTCAAGATTTTTAATTGAAATTCATCAAAAAATTAATTAATTTTTTTTAAATTATACAAAAACTCTTTTAAATAATTTAATTATTTTCGAAAAATGACATTAAAATATTTTTAAAAAGTAATTAATATAATTGTTTTATAATGATTATTTAACCCTATGCGGCATGCATAACATTATAACATTAATTTAAAAATCACAATTGCTTATGAGGGTTTTCAGGGTCGCTGATTACGAATCTGAAGTCCGTTTTCCAAAATTTAAGATAGCGGATCCCATATGGCGGACGAAATTTTTTAGAATTGATCGAAATCGCTTGAAAATAGTTACTCGGGGGTTTTCAGGGTTGCTGATCACGAATCTGAAGTCCATTTTCCAAAATTGAAAATGGTGGATCCAATATGGCGGACGAACTTTTTTTAGAATTGATCGAAATCGCTTGAAAGTCGTTACTCGGAGGTTTTCGGGGTCGCTGATTACGAATCTGAAATTACTTTCAGTAAATAAACGTTAAATTATTGAATAATCGTACCGTCGGCATTTTCGTTACCCGATGATTTTTTTAAACTCATTAATTAAAATTAGCGGATTTTAATTGCTATTATAAAGTTTTGATGTCTCTTGCTTTAAACAAGTGAATTTTTTTCAGCAGTGGTAAGCAGCGAAGCAATTTCTTGTGGAAAACAGGCAGAGTGGTACATTGCAAGTTTAACACATCCATGATGTTCGCTTTTGGTCGGCTTTAGTACTGCAATGAGCGCAGCGTCTAGGTGAAGCGATAATTTTAGGCATATGAGCTGATTGACTTTTTCTTTTTTCCTCTGACAATTTTGGTTTGTAAGAAGAGATTGTAATTAATTTACGTTTCTTCCCAGTTGAACTTGGTAGTTTGTGTCCTACCAATTCATCTACTAAACGTAGCGTAAAAAAGACAAGTTTAAATTTAGCATTATTTGACTGACCGCATACCTACGGTAATGGTAACAAACAATAAACAAAATACTATCTATTGTTTGACGAAACAAATGACAAGCGCAAAAAAGATAAGTTATAAATCAGCAATATTTGACTGAACGCATATTTACGTTAATTATAACAAACAATAAACAAAACACTGTTGAGAGTTCAAAAAAACTAAAATACTAACTGGACTAAAGCAAATGAATTTTACTGAAAGCGAATTGCTTCGCTGCTTACCACTGCTTAAAATAAAATTCAATTGTTCAAAGCAAGACACATCAAAACTTTATAATAGCAATTAAAATTCGCTGATTTTAATTAATTAGTTAATTTTATTAGGAAATAAACAGCTCAATTTGATTATTATGAAGTTTTGAACAGTATTTACCAAACTGCCCTTTTCAGGGCTAAACGATGTACAAATCTCGATCGTGCAATCTCCCCGCGGTGTACATCAGGTAACGCAAATGCCGACGGTACAATTATTCAATAATTTAACGTTTATTTATTAAAAGTAATTTCAGATTCGTAATCAGCGACCCCAAAAACCCCCAAGTAACGACTTTCAAGCGATTTCGATCAATTCTAAAAAAAATTCGTCCGCCATATTGGATCTACCATTTTGAATTTTGGAAAATGGACTTCAGATTCGTGATCAGCGACCCCGAAAACCCCCGAATAACGACTTTCAAGCGATTTTGATTAATTCTAAAAAAATTCGTCCGCCGTAATGGATCCGCCATCTTGAATTTTAGAAAACGGACTTCAGATTCGTAATCAGCGACCCCAAAAACCCTCGAGTGAAGACTTTCAATCAATTACAATTGAATTAAAAAAAAATTTTTTGTTCTTTACTTTATTTATAGTTGTTTATAATTTCACGTAACCTCATTCGCTATCAATTTTTTGACATTTAACAATGTTTTGATTATTAATAAACAAAGATTTTTTGTTTTACTTGAAAAAGACTGTATGTAAACAGATATTTTCACAATTTAAAAGGTGGTAATCTGGGTTACCACTATGCCGCAAAGGGTTAAGATTCAATTATCTTCAAACAAAATTAAAATTTGTAATAATCTTTTAAAAATAATAGAATTAGTAACAAATATTAATAAAAATGATCAAATTTTTTGAGAATTTTAATTATTAACAGGACCATAATTTGTCAAAAATTTCAATAAGTCCAAAAAGTAAATATTCAAAAAATTTTATTTACATTGTTCGAAGATAATTAAATCTTAAATAATCATTATAAAAAAATTATACAAATTAGTTTT